ATGTGAGCAGTGTGCTGCACTAAGAACAGCCTGTTACAGTTCAAACCTCCATTCTTTTCAGTTCTGAGATGCAAATCTGCAGGTTCTTGGCAATGTTTTGAGTAATGGGATGCATTTTTTTTCTATTACAATAAAGAACATGTATTTTTATTGACATAAAAATCTGTTAATCCATCCATCCATAACTGCTTATCAGATATAGGGCTGTGGTGAATCTGGTCCTGGAAAGTATATAGCACATGAAACACAGGCAGGGGACAATACCTGCTTGAATGTCATTTGGACTAAAACCTTAAGGTATATAATAATATGAAGCTAATGGTTTGGATATTTCAGTGTAGATATTGTGTTTTTAGTTTTACACCGCTTATCAGACATCTTTTTAACAAATGACTTCGTGAGATGCGCCGAGTTGTCCCACACTTGTATTCCAATAGTGCCACCTAGTGGCTGTAACACAAATTAGCACGGTCTTTCTCGGAGGGAGCTGGGAGGGAACAAAAAACGTGGACTGTCTGGGGGTCCCGGAGGACTGGGTCGAGAAAAACTGCACTAGCACCAGAAAACCACAATTAGTGAAACCTTACCACTTTATTTTCAATTGAAGCTTATAGACTGCTGGCAATTGCTACAGGACGGGGGTGGTGTCCGGCTGTCAGACCTCTGCGCCCATGAGGGGAATATCGCCGGTTTGAATCCAGTGATCGGCACAATAGTCACAAGTCAAAAGTCATAATAGTCAGATAAGAGTTTAGTTAAGGAACAGTCCTATTGGACAGTCTTGACTTCTGGCTTAAATCATCCAGCTAACTGTAAAGTCTTGTTTTCTGGAACACCCCCAAGGAAGCAATTAAAAAATGGATTTATTTCCTTTTTTTAAATCAAAGCCATGACTCAGAGTGTTAGAATGCCCATGCTGCCGATGAAAATGATGATTGATTTTCAGTGTTTATAAGAGTAAATGTGCATACGGACAAAACAGACCTTTCATTAGCAATACCAGAAGAGAACCACAAGATGGCTCAATAAACCTTACGACGAACTGATACTGCAAAGAAGTTATATTGCACTGGTGGTGAATCTTGAACTTCAACTTCTAATTGTTACATTAAGGTTTGAAAAGTGTCAGTATTCTCATCCATATTGAGACAGAGTAAATCTCTTGATCATGATCTTCCTAGGGGTCTAAGCTGTCCTTGTACCCAAGCTGGAAAAGCACCCAGGGAACAATCGTGTGGCAGTGTGAGGACAGAACACGGAGTGCTTTTGTGGCAGTCTATTCTGGGGCATCACAGGTTCCTGGGCAGCTGAGAATGTGGACGTGGTTCGGCCTCTGCCAGTGCTATAAATAGCGCTTCAGTAGCTCATATGGCTAACGTCACACAACAGTACTTGACGGCCGCTCCTGTGGAGTGACCTCTGGTCCTTCCCCTCGCTTTGCCTTTAACTGCAGATTCTTATTCATACGGTTGATGTGGACAGTTCTGTTATTTTCAGTGCCAACCAATAAATCTAAGCTGTTGAGTCAGGAGGATGTTAATATTTAAAGTTAAATGACCAGCCAATGCACGGCGGATAGATCAAAGATTCTTCTGTAACAGAACCTTCAGAACAAGTTCAGCTCTTGTGTTGTTACACTGTGTTACATGTTTTCACCACAAAAGACCTGTCAAGACAAAGCCAGGTTTTTTTTAGAAATGTGGTGTTTTTTTTTTGGGGGGGGGGGTGTTTGTCTGACTCTAGGCAAGAGTTTACAGTTGAAACATTCTCATAACCATGAAGAGGGATTCAAAGAAAATGAGCCAGTGAGACAAAAGCTCCTGACTGTGTGTGAATGGATGTGAAGGAGTGGCTTAATGTAAGATGGTTCAAAGTCTCAAGTTTTAATGAAACAAACAAAAAAAATGGATAGATAGATAGATAGACAGACAGACAAAAGGATGAAATATAAGAAGATGATGGATGGATGGATGGATGGATAGATGGATGGGTGGAGAACAGCTGAAACATGAAAATTATTGGCAGCTAATGAAAATAATTTTGTTTTTATGGATTGTAAAGAGCCTTTTTTCCTAGCTGTGTCTCCTGGCCAGAGCGTATTCCAGGCTAACATGCAGTTCATTACAAGGCACACAGATGTCTACAGACCGTGGTCAGAAACACCGAGCAAAGGTGGGATTCAAACAGCCAGCCTTGGAGGTCCTCACCAATGGGGATGCTCACTGAGCCCCTGGGTAAACAGACAAACCCCACAGTACAAAAGTCAACGGGAGTCAAGGAAAATGATGTTTAAATGATCTTCACGTTGGCAAATAATACTATAATGTTATGTCCGTAAAAGTGTGTCAGCATAATCACTTCAACACCTCTCCTAAAGTCAGTTCAATATTTGCAGCAACCATCGAATAGAGAGACTGCATCTTCTATTAAGTTCTTTTTTAATTAAGTATGTAGAAGGACAATAGCCCGTAAGCAGAAGGTCTGACCCTGAGCAAAACGAATCAGCGCCGCTGTGCAGCCGGGGTCACGGGAAGGGCGGAAGCCGAACTGAAGGCATGACCTCTATTCTGCTGGAGGCGCCGTCTTCGTCCACGTGCGAGCGAAGATTACGCAACGACCTGCACTCTCAGATAGAAAAATGCCCTAAAAGGTCTAAAAGGCGCGCTACTGACATAATTGGACAGCAACTATCTTGATATTAGTTTACATGCAACAGATCTGTTTTGGTATGTAGACGCATTGTTTTCCAGTTGGGTAAATCATAATCAAAAGAAATTGATCTTAATTAGCACCTGAGAGGAAGATATCAAAAGATGACAATTTAGTCTTACATTTTTTTTGATCGAATTAATGATAAAACGGTATTAGGTAAGGGAAAAGTTAATAAGGGCTTTATGAATTTTGTAGGAACGCAATCAGGAACATGCCTTGCCAGATATGAAGCTCCTTCTCAGTCTTAACTGCATCTTCTCAGTCACATGCGTGCGTATTATTAGAATCGCGCACTCGCTGTTGTATTTCATTGGTGGTTTGTCTTGTCTCCTCGCATGTGTCTGCCTGTTACACACTGCGGGATGGTTAGCTTACGACTGCAGCCCTGAACATTGCATACAAGTCAATGGCTAACACATTAATAGCATTGTACAAGCCTGTCGCTTTCTGTAACTTTAACCAGTGGAACATTCCACAGAGGGTAACAGTACGTAGGTCAGTCATTCCCATGCGGAGTCCAGCTGGGCCAATTTCCAGAATATGTAGTGGGAGACAAGGCAGGTGCTTCAGACTGTACTTCCATAATAAATCCATCATAGATTTACCTGATTTTTGCAGTTGCTTACAAATTCCGCGTGCAGTGGAATAAGAATAAATATTGAATAATGAAAGATACATACGTTATCGGACATAAACCTATTATAAATGGCCCAGATGTGCGTTCCCCCAACTCATTCTTTGGAGGGGTCTCTGAAGGGGCCAAAAGATACACGCAGCGTGTGTCAGCTATAGCCACATATTTTGCCCCCTGTTCGCTTCATTTGCACATAACCTACACTAGATGTCACTGTAGAGCAACTCACGAGTGGCGAGTGGAGCCCGATCGACCAGTGACTTGGAGAAGCGCAAACCTGCTTCATTCAAATTCGGCTTGCTGTCGTAGCGGCTGAAACATGCAGTCACAATGAATGTTCAGCTCGGCTTGTTCATGGAGCAGTTTCCTTCAAAAGATTTGATTATTCGATTCATGTTTAAATCACATGGGGCACAGCACAATAGCGTAACGTGGAAATTATTTTAATATATTGCTTTATCTATCATTTACCATCGGTATGTATATCAAACTATTTGGCATTAGACATTCTGGCATTAAACGTTCTTGTTATGTTCTATATCAATCTGGTCTTTCATCCATGACGTACAGCACACAATTCTCTGACTGCACTATTGCGTGATTCCACTTGCTGATATGTAAAGTACCCTTTTCTGGGACTTGATTACACTACAGTCCAGCGCAGCTATGCAGTTCCCAACTTCGCCTTCAAGGTGACTTTATTATGTGCCTGAGAGCAACATGTGTCCTTCGTATATGACTCTTGCTTAGTGGCTTAAATTCAAAATTGTATACACCACTACAAAAGGTTTATGATATCTAAATGATTTTTACCCATATGTGTGTCATAAAATGGTACACGTATAATCATGAAACAATGAAAAGATATAACCTGCTACAGGAATGTTGTCTGATATATATATAACAAACTGTATAACTACTATCTGCTACTGTTCTCATGTAGTCATAGATTTTATATAGAAATAATTATTTAGTTATATATACCTACTAACACATATCTAACAAATATAACGACAAAATTATTTGGTCTGCTGTTGAATAATTTTCGTATAGATTTACTGCTTTAATTGCAGAGATATAATATAACAATTATATGATATATAATAATCGCTGATATTATATTTATAACCGTACAGTAGCGGAGCGCTTCAATTAGTTACTTTAATATTCCCCTGTATTCACAGCTCTCTTCAGTGACCTTGGTGTCGAGCCGCTTTCATAGCCTCAAAATTGCAGATATAAATGTCAGATAAGTATCAAACTTTTCCCCTAATACTGTTTCTCAGATAAAGAGAAAATCTGCAAAATATGACAGTTCACGTTTCTTTTATAAAACGATTCGATTGGTTGTGGAAAACTGAATATTTTAGCTGCATGATAACATTTAGATATGAAAGAATGTTACACCTCTTGTTTTCAGTTGAATATGTGTGATTGTCGAGTACACGTGAAAGTACGGAAAATTGACAATTTCTCTGTTGCTGTTCTATCAGACTGTACTCCTAGTTAGTTGTGAAATACGGTTTATCAGACGTCATGAATGGAAAACTCAGATTGCCCCGCCCCCGAACCGACCAGCGGACCAATCAGATGCCGGTCTGAAAAAACCCGTCGTGTCTCGAGATCCCGGCGCTTTTAAACTCCCGACGCCGCTATAAATGCGGCCATTTCGACCAGCTTGTCGTAGAGCTCCGGGGTTCCGGCAGGGTTGCAGTTCTTCCCCTTGTGACAGGTCCACTTTAGCGGCACAGCAGAATGAGTGACGCTGCGATCTCTTTCCTCAAGGACTTTCTGGCTGGCGGCATCGCTGCTGCCATTTCCAAGACAGCAGTCGCCCCCATTGAGAGAGTCAAACTCCTTCTGCAGGTATGCGGGTTGTCGGATTAGATCGGATTTGCCGGCTGATGCACTCTGGTGGTCTCTGATCCTTAGCTGGAGCTAGGCTGTTGCTTTTGCGAACTAATGTAGTAAGTTTCTAAATGGCGAAAGCTAGTAAGTGTCTAAGTGGCTGATTTGGGATGGCAGCCGGTCACAGGGGTATCACTGGAGTATCCATGACTCTGGTCGTTGCCGGTTGTTGAATGACTGTCAATAACATGTCCATTGCTCTTCTATTCCTCCTCAAATCTTACGTTAATGACTTTTAAATGTCTCGATTCAGCCTGAGATGCCAGGGTCGCAGGGAGCGGAGGTCTTGTCTTGTGCCGGCTTGCGTGCGGGAGCTGGGTGTGATGCCGGTTTATTAACAGGAATTAATTAGTCTGAATATCTTACACCATGTACCCGATCATTTTCCCTCGGGATGCTGAATGACGTCTGTTATGCATATTTTAAGCTGTCAGACAGCAGTGAGCCCCTGTCTTCATGCTAGTTAGTGTACTGTGAGTGTTCTGTGGTCTGTATATAACCTTTGACATTCTGTGTTAGTCCTTGTAAGATTGTTTTGGGATGGCTTTTCCAAACCGACTTCTTTGCTGTGCATTATGAGTAATGCTTGCTGTTGCTGTGTTTTTGAACTTGTCCTTTTTTTGTCTACAGGTCCAGCATGCAAGCAAACAGATCACTGTTGACAAACAGTACAAGGGTATCATTGACTGTGTGGTGCGTATACCCAAGGAACAGGGCTTCCTGTCTTTCTGGAGAGGAAACCTGGCCAATGTCATCAGGTACTTCCCAACCCAGGCCCTCAACTTTGCCTTCAAGGACAAGTACAAGAAGGTCTTCCTGGACGGGGTGGACAAGCACACCCAGTTCTGGAGATATTTCGCTGGGAACTTGGCCTCCGGTGGGGCGGCTGGTGCCACCTCCCTATGTTTCGTCTACCCTCTTGACTTTGCCAGAACCCGCTTGGCTGCTGATGTAGGCAAAGCTGGTCCAGAGCGGGAGTTCACTGGTCTGGGCAACTGCATAGTCAAAATCTTCAGGTCTGATGGCCTTAAGGGTCTGTACCAGGGCTTCAATGTCTCAGTGCAGGGCATCATCATCTACCGAGCTGCTTACTTTGGCGTCTATGATACCGCAAAAGGTGAGTGTTTGATAGGGTGTTGGCTGTAGTGCAGAGTGGGCCACAACCTTAATTAGACCAGCTAATAATAGGGAAAGTTATGGGCTATTAACAGGAAACTATTTTGACCCTTTAGAGAGGTTCAAAGTGAAGAACACCATTTGCTCTTTGATCTGGGTGACATCTTGCACAACTAAAATTGTCTACCTCCATAAAGCAAGAGTCCGAGCCGCTCGTTTCCAGAACTTGCCGTACGCTCGCGTGTTTAAATGACAGTATTGGCTTTGTTCGGTAGGTATGTTGCCAGATCCCAAGAACACCCACATTGTAGTCAGCTGGATGATTGCTCAGACTGTAACTGCTGTGGCCGGCTTGGTGTCCTACCCCTTTGACACCGTCCGTCGTCGTATGATGATGCAGTCTGGACGTAAAGGAGGTGAGTTCAGCAGCAACTAGTCATATTTAGCTTAAATGCTGCAGGATTTGGTGTAGCCTGACCTGGTAAATTCATTAAAATCCCATGTATGTTGCAACTTTGTGTCAGTTTGGTATATTAGATTCTCTTTGATAATGGACAACAGTGTTAACGCAGCGTTGTATCTACAGCTGACATCATGTACATTGGTACAATTGACTGCTGGAGGAAGATCTCCCGAGATGAGGGTGCCAAAGCCTTCTTCAAGGGCGCCTGGTCGAATGTTCTCAGGGGTATGGGAGGGGCCTTTGTGCTGGTGCTTTACGATGAGCTGAAGAAAGTCATCTAAATGTGTTGTATGCAGCCAAGAGTGCTGAAATGGTAAATGTAACATATCTTGTACATTTGGAAGAACCGTCATTCTGCCTTGTTTATAGGGACCAACTAGTATTTGACTACTAGTTGAAATGGGGGTATAGATTATGTGATTTCTGTTCCCACCTCACCCTTCTAACCAATGTCATTCCCGCAAAGAAACCTGACCGGACAGAGCTCTACCCATCATCTAGCCGGTGTTTTTAACCATTGCTTTAATAAATACAACCTGAAATACACAAACTGTCAGTTGCTTTAATCATCTTCAATGAAGTTGCCTTGCAATATTGGCGAAAACCTGGATTATGGCAAAATTTAATGGCAACAGTTTTTCTGAATGAAGCTCGACCAGTGCGCCAGAAGCCCCAGTGACTTCTGACCTGTTGACTCGTACTATAGTTGTAAAGCGCTTTCACGTGCTCATGCCCTTGCTGTTACTCTTGCCAAAATAAACTTCAAGAATTTTGAGCCAAGTGGTGATGGCTGCTATTTAAGACTGTCCAAAGTATCATGTAGGCAACCTTGGCACTGGCTGGCATTGAACTCGTCTGCTTGGCAGTGGTCTAGTTGACCTTAGCTGTCGAGTTCATCGTGCTGCGTATTTTCCTTCCTGTTCAGTTGTATTGCATGAGATTCTTGAGAATAACTGTTCTGGGTTGTTAGTATTAAGCATGTTGCATTGGTTCACAGACATCACAATGTCATATAGTTTTTGTGTGTACAGTGAAAGTCCATGTGTCCACACTGCTGCTTTTTGATCTTGAGGACAGCTAGCTTTGGGGGGTAATTTGCTCGATTAACTCTTGTGCAGACAAAGGTTGTATGCAAAATCAGTCTTGTTTTTGTGTCCTCCAAATTTCCATCTACTTCATCTACATCTACAGGAATTTCCATCTACAGGAATTTGTCTGACCTGCCTCAGATTTTTACCCAAAAAACTGTTTCTGATTTATTTATTTATTGCCCCCAAGTATAATGGTACCAGATTTGCATTTGATTGTTTATTCTTAAAATTGTTCATCTGTAGTGTGTGTGTGTGTGTGTGAATACATGCACATATACGTATCAATCACCTGTACGTGACAAGTGGAGCGGAGTGGTGAGGTTGGGTGGTGATGTGGCTTTGATACCGACCCGGGTTCTATGGGTATAGAGTTTGCATGTCCTTCCTTTATCCATGTTGGCTTCCACCCATGACCCAAAATACACATGAATGGGTGCCTGGTCAGGCGACATGATACTTCCTGAAATTAAGTCTAAGATGTTCTCTGCTGACTCTGGTAGGTTTTGCCCTCAGTTACCCAGCACTGGACAGCACTTGGATTGGTCTCTTGCACTATAACCCCCCCCTCCCCAAGCCATAAAATGTCAGTTGAAGTGAGGTTGAAATGTTTGCTGGGGGGCTTTCGGGAAAACTGCATGGTATAAGTGTTTTGTCTTTGAGAGGAACCCAAGCACTAAAATATGATTAGTCTAGGTTTTATTTATCCGGAGGTTTATTTTCACTATGCAACCATGGTATTAAGAAACAATCCTGGTCTGTATTGTCTTTATATAGATGGTGAGAGAGATGCCCTCCAGGGTCACATGCTTCTCCACAAATAAGTGTTTAAACATAGGACAAGGCTGTTTTTTTTAAAGCAGATACTATTCTTTGTTTTCAAAGACTAAAAATCATTGTAGGTTATCTGATTGATTCAGAAGTAAACTTGATGTTAAGGTACCCTTAAAGATTATTGATGGTTAATGAGTAGAATTTTGATGAATGGACTTATATTCAAACTAAAACCATTTCAATGGTTGGACCGATTAATCACCACCAGAGAGAAGCCCTGTAGCTGGAAGGACTTCTGTGAATTTCGTACGAGTGCCAGACGGATGACGTAGGAATGCATCAATGTGGCATCACCGCTGATCCGTAGGGGCTGCCCTGAGCCAGTTCATCGCAGACTGGAAATTCTGTTCCTGTGATTGCAGTGGATGTGAGCCTCCAGTGTAATCCTGAAATAATACGCCTGAGCAGTGGCCATGCTTGTCAAACAGGTTCATCTCAGGTGTGTCCGGAAGCAATATCGCACGGGGTCAGAAATTTATTGAAAAGGTAATAAATGGTGTTGAGGTTATGGTAAGGTTAAGGCTACTATACTGGAAAAAATATCAATGTGAATAAAAAGGTCATTTTAAAAAATGGTCTAATTGTAGAGAAAATGAATATGTTTTAGATGTATCATGAGTACAAGTTCTAAATCAAGATACTTGGTATTCACACATAAGCAACAGAATTCAATTTAAGTAGACGAGTTTAATGACATAATGACGTGGTATTTGGACGTCTACTTTGTGTGTGCACTTGGACGTCAAGCTCCGGGCTGGTTTGTGCAGTCAAACCCCAACAACTGTGTGAGAGGTGGCAGTCAGGGAGCTGGGTTACCCTGATTCAAATAGCTTAGACTGGTATGAAAGGCAATCTGTCCTTCATAATGAAGCAGTATACAGTGCCCCCTGGTGGCAAAAAACAAGGTAAAGGAACAATTCAGCTAAGGATCAGAGAGTAATATTTGCAAGAACATTAAAATGCCAATATACTGTTTAGATTTGCTTTTTAAAAAATCTGTTTAAGGGGAAGCCCACTTGTGGTCTGTATGTGTAGATGTTCTCCAGATAACCAGTGGGTTTCCTTGGCAGGTATTCTTCTGTGGTCCAAAGACATGCATCTCCACATTCCCCATATTGTGTGATTTCGTGTCTATGACCTGTGATGTACTTAACTGAAATGCATCTATTGCATGTTGCAGAGGATGGAAACGTCAACTAAATAACTATGACTATGCTAAACTGATCTATTTGACTATTGGACAGATTAATAAACAAAAAATATTCTGATTTAAAATCTGTTTAGCCAAAGAGTACCCCATATAAAGTTAAAATCATCATCATCATCACACCGTAATGAGAGAAGGGAAATTTTGGCAGTTATGCTTTTCCAGTCAGGTTTGCTGAGCAACTAATAAGAATAACAAATCGGTGTGTAATGGGATTATGAGACGTGTGATCAGGTTTGCGGGTTTTTAATAGTTTTTCCTGACATATTGGTCTTCAACACAGAGACCAGTCAGACTGAACCCGCAGCGTTGATCTATACTGCCACCTGCTGGCATTCAAAAATCTTCAAACAACGCTGTTTAACTGGTCAATATGTTAAAACTATTCTGCAACATGAAATCTAGCTGTTTTATATAATTATGAATGAATAAATGGTAAATGTAATATAGGTTGTACTTTTGGGGTAATTGTCATTATAATATATGTATATATTTATATGTATATAGCTTAAAATAGTGTGTGTGTGTGTGTGTGTGTGTGTGTGTGTATATGTATGTGAGGGTTGGACTCTGCTAGGGCTGCCCTTTGTCACCGATTCTGTTCATAGTTTTTATGGACAGAATTTCTAGGCGCAGCCAGGGTGTTGGGGGTGTCCGGTTTGGTGACCTCAGGATTAGGTCTCTGCTTTTTGCAGATGATGTGGTTCTGTTGGCCTCATCGGACCATGACCTTCGGCTCTCACTGGAGCAGTTCGCAGCCGAGGGTGAAGCGACTGGGATTAAAATCAGCACCTCCAAATCTGAGACCATGGTCCTCAACCGGAAAAGGGTGGAGTGCTCTCTCCGGGTTGGGGATGAGGTCCTTCCCCAAGTGGAGGAGTTTAAGTAACTTTGGGTCTTGTTCACGAATGAGGGAAGGATGGAGCGGGAGATCGACAAGCGGATCGGTGTGGCGTCAGCAGTGATGCGGGCAATGCATCGGTCTGTCATGGTGAAGAAGGAGCTGAGCCAAAAGGCAAAGCTCTCGATTTGCCAGTCGATCTACGTTCCTACCCTCACCTATGGTCAAATGAGTTTCTGCCGCAGGGTGGCTGGGCTCTCCCTTAGAGATAGGGTGAGGAGCTCAGTCATTCGGGAGGGACTCAAAGTAGAGCCGCTGCTCCTCCGCATTGAGAGGAGCCAGATGAGGTGGCTCGGGCATCTGCTTAGGATGCCTCCTGGATGCCTCCCTGGTGAGGTGTTCCGGGCATGTCCCACTGGGAGGAGGCCCTGGGGAAGACCCAGGACACGCTGGAAGGACTATGTCTCTCAGCTGGCCTGGGAACGCCTCAGGATTCCCCCAGAGGAGCTGAATGAAGTGGCCGGGGAGAGGGAAGTCTGGGATTCCCTGCTGAGACTGCTGCCCCTGCGACCCGACCTCGGATTAAGCGGGAGATAATGGAATGGTGAATTGGAGCACACAAAACTACCTGCAGGTGTGAGGGTGTGTCAGTGTGCCCTACGTTGGGCTGGCGCTAGACTAGGGCAGTAAAGAGGAGCGTCTGTATTTTTTATGTTATTAAAGATAACACCTTTGGGATTTCTAAATACCGGGGTATATACCGTAACACCGTAGCAATTGGCACTGCCTCCTGGGTGATTCCCAACCGTGCGACCGTAGCTTCCGGGGATAGAGAACTCTGCATAGGACAAGAGGGTATTGAAAATGAATGAATAGATGGTTTGCCTTGTATTATTGTATTTGCTAATTGACCTTTTGACTTTTTCATTTAAAAAGTTTCATTTAAAGTCAATGGAAATGTCAATATAGAAAGAAGACAAAACATAACCCTATTAGTTTAATGTGGACAAGAAATCTAAATAAACCAAATGAAAATAAAATAAACCAACAACAATGAATAAATTAAACGCATTCCAGAATTGTAGCTGAAAGTGTAAATCTTCCCACGTTTGATAATTAGTACTTTGCGGGAGTACATACTAAGTACTATTACAATATGTAGAGCGCCAGTCTGTGAACTGGAACGCAGCCTGTGTCTCGGGCAAGGGCTCTTATCTCCTAGCAACCAACTTATCTCCTAGCAATGGCCAATGAAAAATGAGGTCTTCTCACATTGCAAACGGCAATGCGCTGAATTTAGTCAGGAAAGCTCTTCTGAAACTAGGACCATTTTGACTTATTAAAAGCGTGCAAAGTCTAAACAGATGTCTAATATGTGAGTTCTGAGGTTATAGAGCAAGGGAAACAAGGGAATTGTTTTAGTCCCAAAGAACAATAAAGAGTCACCACCTCCTGATTCCCTCCGGACACATTCAGAAAAAAACATAGTAAAAAGCCCTTCAAAAATACCACAATTAAAAAAAAATTTGAATAAAGCAAATGGCATAGAACGTAATTGTATAATATATATTCAGAACGATTCCATTAATACCTGAAAATTCATTGCTTTGCCTTGCATTTACAATTTTTAAAAAGACTTGTAGTGACTTTGTAGCCGAAATGTTTTTACAGATCATGAGCAAACACATGAGCCCAGTCTCCTATCTCTTTTGTCTCTTCTGAGACCTCTTCTCTGACGTGCCCTAGCCTGAGAAAATGTTAGCACGCTACCGTGCACGTACAAATGGAAGTCTGTGCAGGCTGCCTTCTGTTATTGCTGGATTGTGCACAAGTTATCTACATTTTGAACACATCAACACACACACTAGGAGATCACTACAGAAATACTTTCCACAGATCCACAGAAGCTGACTTTTTATGTATTATTAAAATTACTAAAATTCACAAGTCATGTTATGTTTTTATTATTAGTATTGCTAAAGTTTTTCAGTTTTGCTTCATCTGCGCTCCTTTGGGTCTGTATGATTGGATTGACACAGACGGCACCTTTAAACCATTTTAACAATGTTAAATTAATGACAGATTGTCTACACATACTAGTTTGTTTTCCCCCGTATGCTGTAAAACAAATCAAACAGCTATGCAGTTACCTAGCAACCAATGCAAATGAGACTGGTGATGATTAGAGTTTAATACTAACAGCAAAACTTCCGGATTTATAGATATTAAGGGTTACTTGATAATTTATAGATGAATTCCATGATTCTGCCTCATTTGTTAAATATATAAAATTAAAGTTATTAAAAATAATTTTCACCACAGTAATATAATTAATGTAATGTAATTAACTTTAGTAATTAGGTTTACATTGCAAATAAATGTTCGATATCTAAAATAGTTCATGGTATAGCCCATTACGGGAGTTAATCATGCTTTGTTCAGATAACAAGTGAATAAAAGCCTCCAGCAGAGGGGGCAGTCTAATCCAGCACAGGTAAATGCTTGTTCTAGTGGTTATCTAGAACATGGGTGGAGTTTTGGGGGGGGGGGGGGGTGGGATGCCTAGTCACCTGAATTGAAATTAATTGGCAAGACCAGCATTGCACCTGTTCGGTGCACCTCTGCATAATAAGTGGCTTGTTGGTACCCTATAGGTGGACAAAATAACATGTAATGTGTGCATCAGATGTGTACGTTACCATATAAGATTTGCAGGATGCGGGTGTTTGGCTCCACAAACACAAACATCAGGCTCCTCTCGTGCAGTAATCTCACACCTTCTGGGGCTTTGGGGTCACCTTGCAGCCCCTGCTGTGTGTGTGGGGGCTTTTTTGTTCTCCCTCAAATGAGCTTTTCTTCTGGGTAACTCAAGTAGTTAGTTGGTACGATGACAATGAGTCTTGGTAACTGAAGTAGCTAAGTGAATTGCACCTCTAAGGTCTGTACTGGCCATCTGGCATGCGGAGCCGATTGGCATGTGGGCCGGCAAACCTTCATGGGGACCCCCAAAGTCCAGTCCAACTCTGGCACTGCCAAATTAACCTTAGTATGTGTGCCCTGTGATGGACTGGCCTCCTGTCCAGGGTGTCCCACTGCCTCATGCCATGTGAAGGACTGGCCTCCTGCCTAGGGTGTCCCCCTGCCTCGTGCCCTGTGATGGACTGGCCTCCTGTCCAGGGTGTCCCCCTGCCTCGTGCCCTGTGATGGACTGGCCTCCTGTCCAGGGTGTCCCCCTGCCTCGTGCCCTGTGATGGACTGGTCTCCTGTCCAGAAAGTCCCCTGCCTTTCTCTGTGTTTCCAAGCTTACAGCAGTTGTCTTTTGCTTGGTTTTTTATGGAAGATTAATAGGAATAAGAGTTTCCCTGCAAAACCAGTTTAGTTGGTTTGCTGTTTGTCCTAAGCTTTTTATATGACAAATTCTGATCTTTTCAGATTTAGAGATTCACAGTTTAGTGTTAGAAAAGTGGACTCAGAATCAAGGCATTTTTCCCTATGGTCCATATTTGTTGGGGAGTTCAATTTGTTTTGCCAGTTATTTTGTGGTGTAAGGAGGGTAGTACTCTATAGCTCTGTAGAGTTACAGCTTCTATGAGTACTTATGGGGAACAGATCTATGCTGTAATTCAAAATGAAACCAATCACTTTTTTCTGCTCATGCCACATGTGGATACTGGAGAAAGAGCAGGTATTTTTTTCTTCATATGATCAGATCACTCATATGCAGGTAACTTGTGGTACCATGTGGTTATGATTTGGTGTCAGGGCTCCACAGTGCGATGACTACATTAATTACAGTGCTTCAGCCTTTGCTCTTTTGCAGGCTTACCTGTTATAAAGTGTCTAATATTTCCCCCAGACAGAAATCTCATTAAATACAATCATAAGAATTTCAGACATGTTTATGTCATTCTGAATTTCAGTTGGACATTGCTGGGGTACTTGCCTAACTGCATCATAATTACAGCCTTTAAATAAATAAATAAATACTCCCAAAAAATAAAAACTCCCAACAATAAGTTTACAGAAACAGTAACATATATATGCTTAATAGGGGGTCAAACAAACAAATTAATTAATATGGTCAACTTTCATTATAATTAAAATTAAATAATATTCCTAGGAAAAAATACATAAATAATATTTAAGTAAGGTCAGAAAGCAAAATGTAATATTTATGCATAAATATAATTGATAATGATAGGTGATATAAACTGTTTAAACTGCATTAACACAATAAAGCTAGATTCTGCGTTTTAATAATCTCTAGATATACTTGAACCACGTAATGCCTTCCATCACATTGCGGCATGCTGGACCCTTGTACTGTGGAGTTTCGAAACGCGCTTGTTTGCCTGCTTAAGCATAGAGCGGTGTGCTGTTAATATTTATCAGTCATTTATATATCACGCACACATATATAATCTCCAAATTCTTAATTTTAATGCTAGCCGAAAACTTTGCAAAACTACATTTTCTGCATTAGTTTTATTTATTTTTTTACTGACCAGTTTATTGGAAACAATCCTAACTTATTTTAACTGCATATCATATGCAAAACATTAAAAAAAAAAAAACGTTATATTATCTACAGCAATGCACGCTAAGCAACGCGTGACTTCTAACTACCCTTCAGGGAATGAGAGAGGAGCCAAACAGCGGCCGCCTATGGATTTGCCCATGGAGACTCCCCCCCCCCCGGCGGCGGTGCAGGTGGTACGCTCCTGACTCGCTGGCGAATCCGGTTCGGCGCAGCTGCGTCCAGAGAGGCAGCTCGCGACGTTCGTCTGCTTCGGCTCCGTGGGTCGGCGACGGATATACGCCGCTCCGCTGCTGCCGTCAGGAAGTAAAGAATTGTATGTTTGAGTTGTTTTCCGAAGCGGCTTAACGAGATGTCAACCCCGGCTCGACGGCGTCTGATGAGAGATTTTAAACGGTAACCCCCGCCGAAAGAAGGATAAGGACGAATCTGTGTGTTTTGTGTGGCTAGAACTAAACATGGCGACTTTTTAAAAATGTATATACACTGTGGCAAAATGCTACGCAAGTTTCACAGCGTTAGTCACGGCCGATTGCGTTGGGGTTACGTAGCAAATCCGGCGTAACCCTTTCTGGGCATAGCCAGGGTTTTTTATTACTGAAATTCTGAAAAAGGCTCTATGTTTGTGTTCTTTTTCTCAGACTTCAGGAGGACCCCCCAGCTGGAGTTAGCGGCGCTCCTTCAGAGAATAATATTATGGTGTGGAACGCAGTCATTTTTGGGTGAGTGAGAACAATCCTGCCATTTTGGATAGGTACATTTTTAGCCTCTCGGCGGCTAACGTGTAGCCTTAAAGCTAGCAGCGGATGTCCCCTTTTGTCCCAAGAGTAAACTTTGCAGCCCACAACTGCTCACCGTCCTTGCCCTTTATTTTGGCATTAAAAATGGACCGATCATCGTAATCCGGTTGTCTTGGCTGTGGCTTGAGCTGAAGTCAGAGATCAGGGGACCGTGAATGTCGTTAATATCGATCCATCGACACGTCTGATGGCTTTTAGAATTGTGTGTTTACGCTTTTAGTTTTATAAGTGTGATCTGTTTCACCGGTATGTCAGCACCCTATCCGGCGGAATCCGGCCTCAGGTCATAACTAGCTACCCCAACAAGCTTTCATCGAAGCGCTATATTCGGGCTTACGGATGGACTAATGAAACGGCATGTTTTCTTCCCTGTTACAGGCCAGAGGGGACACCTTTCGAAGACGGTAAGTCGGCATTTCAAACGTCTCTGCCGTATGAAGAGCCCCATAAGCGAGTCGGCCGCCGCTTGGTGTAGGTATAGCTAGTCTTTCCCAAATCATGGGAGATGGAGTGTCACCGGGGCCGGGTGCCGCTCCGCAGGCTGGCGGAGGCCGGCGGCCAGGCCCCCTTGGGCTTCCGGCTCCGCGGTTTTGTCGTGTTGGCCTCAAGCGGTGCCTTGTGGCTCTGGCCTTTTGCACCGGGGCAGAGTATAACCCTCATGGGGGGAGTTATGGAGTCGTGTTTATTATGCTGCCTAGTTGTGTATTCCTGAATTAATCCTTATTCGTTGTATAAATAGTTGGAGTACTGACAGGTGGTTTGGAAGCCGACCTGTATACTCTGGTTTTTATGGGCTGTTAACAGTGGCGTAGAAGAGCCGCTTTTAAGATGTCATATATCCTGAAATTGGAATTTGTGGGGAAAGTACCGGTGGTGTGCAGCAGGGAAGCTGATCGGCAGGGTTCGGCAGCTGGGAGGACGCCGCCGTCACGACGTGCTGGCAGGAAGCTTTATGAGAGGGGGGTGAGGGCTCGGCGGTATGGGGTGGGCGCCGGATTATCCTGAATCTGTGAGTCACCCGCCCCCCTGACGGCGCCTACCTGCGTCTGTCTCTCCGAGCTTAGCAGCGTCACGCCAAGTCAGTCGTAGCCGGATCTGCCCGGGAGTGACACGGATGTCGCCGGCTCCCATCTGCTGTTCGCCGTGCGACTGCACAGGCACGTTTACGGGGTTCGGGCAGGCGTGTGCTGTGCTGCCCTGTCAGCTGCTGCCCGGCCTCTGCGCCCTTTCCTGCAGAAGCTCCTTAGAGAATGCAGTATATCTGCTACGGTGTGTTACCATGGAAACCTTTGCAAATCTGCCATTATTATTGACCAGTCAGTTTTAAAATACTATTATGAATCATATAGATGCAATATGTATTTGTAAACCACACTTTCTTTAAACATTGGTCTCAGTAAAGTGTGGGATGTTAATAATTTTGAGTGGTTTATGGAAAAGATGGCATTTGAAATTGTGTTCCTTATTGAATTGTAGTTGCTGTTGGTTAGTTACTGTAAGGCAGGGGTCTCCAATGCCGGTCCTGGAGAGCTACTATCCAGTAAGTTTTCTATCCTACCTGGCTTCTGATGAGCCATACCTGCTCCTGGTATTTATCTGAGAACTAGTGTGGCTCATCAGAAGCCAGGTAGGATAGAAAACTTACTGGATAGTAGCTCTCCAGGACCGGAGTTAGAGACCCCTCTTTAAATGTTGTTTTTAAGCAATTAGCTGTCTTTCTACAATTTAGTTCCCTCTTGCATGTGGTAGGTAGATTATTTAAGTTATAGTAGGCCAATGATCTAGACTACTGGCTTTTGCAGCCCCAAGGAAAAATGGCATTGTAAGTATTAAAGAGGAAAAGTATAAATGTCATGTCACATCTAGCTACCTTTTCTGTTGTGAAGTTCTTAGAAGGCTGTCAAGAAGTGGTGATACTGAGATGCAGGAAGTTTAAAAGGCATACTAAGTCTTCTTTAATTACACTTCCAATGCAAATGGAAAATCGAGCTGTTTCCCCCCTGAAAACCAAGGGACCATTATCTAGTTGGATATTTAAAACAAATTCTATCCATGAATTATACTGACTAAAATGAGCGTAATGTAATATTGGCCCTTTAAAATATTTACAGTGAAATATCAGACAAGAATAATAATCCAGTGTAAAAATGTTTGCATTGTGTACATTGGTTTAACCTTGAAAATGTCAACTTCCTCTCATTTTCCTTTGGCCACGTTACCTGTGCTCAGTCGGACTGATTTCTATTCCCCCTTTTCTGTAATTTTACTAACACTACAGGAGAACATGGGTGTAGTAGAAATACTTAATTTTACGAAAAAGAAATATTAAGGCCAATGTTTTCATGGTTTTTGGAAATATACATTAAAATGTCTAACATCAGTTTCCTTTCATAATCATGTTGTAATCCTAAGTTAGGGAAATGTATTTTTGTCTGTATAAATAAAAAAGAAACCAAGTCTTAATCACTGTGGTTTTGTCGATTGGCATTTTATCACTCTATTTTTACATGACTTTTCTTTTATGTAAGATTTAAGTCTTACAAATGGAAATTTCTGATATTTTGTAGGAACTTTCAAGCTCACGATAGAATTCACAGAAGAGTACCCGAATAAGCCACCTACTGTTCGCTTTGTTTCCAAAATGTTTCATCCAAATGGTGAGTTTTGCATCATTTCCTTGTTCCGGAAGCGGAGTTGGTTGTATTATTCATGCATTTGCTTATTGTTAGCTTAGTATAAAACTTCTTGATTCATTAGTGTAGTTTTAAGTCTGTAGTGCAGGCAAGATGCCAGAGGGGATGCGCTGTTTGTTTTATCTTCCAGTCTACGCGGATGGTAGTATATGTCTGGACATTCTTCAGAACCGCTGGAGTCCCACCTACGATGTGTCCTCAATCTTAACCTCTATACAGGTACAGCCATATATCGGAATATTGTCTGAAATAACTTGTTGGCTGGTCCAGCTACTAAGTTTTACCGTTCAAAAGATAAGCAGAATCCAAATTATTTCAAACATCCGAATTCCTGTCAGGAGATTGCAGGCTCCCTATTCTAACAAGCCTCTTCAGAGTATGCGGTAGTTCTCATGCACGACTTCTTTAAGTTACAAGAACAGAAAGCAAATGTTGCGTTTTGGTGGCCAGTCACTCGAGACGATTCAAACGAGTAATTTGCTTCTTGGCTTGCCGTCCCTCAGTCTCTGCTAGACGAACCGAACCCAAACAGCCCCGCAAACAGCCAGGCCGCGCAGCTCTACCAGGAGAACAAGCGTGAATATGAGAAGCGGGTGTCCGCTATCGTGGAACAGAGCTGGCGTGACTGTTGACCTAAAGCCCCCCCCCCGCCCCCCCCCCCACAGTATGGACACTATCCAGCTGCAAGTCAAGAGAGCAGTGAGAAGGAAAGCAATTAATCTTTTTCAAAATATACCAGAATATAAACATGCATCTTGCCCCCACATCTTTGAGTCCTCATCAGTTTCCTTCATATATCCATCTGTTCTGTATGGTAGAGTGCTGTTGTACTGTTAACTTTCCCCCTGTCACACAAAACCACCTTCCTGGACAAATGGCACCTTCATTGAAGTAAATGTACCTTGTTGTACTTGGGTTACTGACATTGTCTTTCTGTTACTGCTCTGGAATGGAGATGATCTTTTACCTGCTTTAATTTAAATTTTATTTTTCACTGTATGAACATCTCGTACCTTGGATGTGTGTCCATCTGTTAAAATCAGTCACACGAACGATTATCCTCAGCTGAGGTGTTTGTGTGAGGACATTTCTCACTTTTGTGTGTCTGGAGTTTGTGTGTGCACCTGAACACCATTAGTTAGATTGCTCTGATTTATTATTGTTTTATCCCACTATATGTGATTTTTATTTTATTTTTTGAATGTGGGGATTGCAACATTTTCGAGACGTCTAAGATGAGCTATAATTCATGGCAGTGCCCGCTTATGTTGGAAGTGTGTTTGTTGTCTTTTTTTCAGCACCATTTAAACTTGACATTTTCACTCAGTACTAATATCTCAAAACTATTTCATGTTCTATGAAAACTTTACCATTAGCCGTGTGAGTGCTTTCAGGTTTCAGTCCATGCACTTGTGTCTAACCGTGCTCTTCAAGAAATGTGGAGTTGAGGTGTGAATAACACTTAAGGCTGCTGTGGGTCAGCGTTTCTCACCCTGGTTGTCGACGACCTCCAGACGGTCCACTTTTTTGCTCCCTCTCAGCTCCCGGTAGGAGCAAAGACACGGACCGTCTGATGGTCCCGAAGACGGGATTTGGAAACAGCTGTAGGTGGCATACCTCAGCTCTTACAATGAGACCTTCCCACGTTTCCTCCTCCTTTCTGTTGTCTGAAAATTGATGTGAAAATATCAGAACAGAGATCGGCCATGCAAAACATTCAGCGTGTGCTTGAGCAGATATGAGGGATGGGATGTGGTCATAGAGTATATGTGTTATTTCTGTTCTCCAAGGTATGTGGATTGCCTGGCTGATTTCACACTATTTCAGTTACTAAAGTGCCAGTTATACATAAATTTGAAGGGATTAGGAGAAGAAAACAATCCCTGTGTGTGACGTTCATACGGCAGACCAAAACAGTTCATTCGATTTAATGCGTACTGATGATGGCCTGTTGTCATTTTGAGGTAGTCTTTATTTCATCTGAAACTTCTCAGTGATAGTAAGACTTTGCATTGGTAACCCATGTAAAAACTGTACATTTTATCAGTTCTTGTAAATAAAATGTTTAAAAAACACTTGGTTGTGTATAATGTGTTTTGGCATGTTGGGAAAAACTTGAAATTATCTTCTGTTGTAGCATTAAGCTTCTGTGCTAATTATATAATCTATCTGAATATATTACCATAAGGAGCTATTGAAGTGTATGGTACCACCAGGCCAAGCTCAAAAGAGCTTCATGGGGCCCTCACAAGGAGCTTATAAGCCTGGGAAGGGATTTAAAGCCATTTCCAAGCTTTTTGATATCTACTGCATTGTTTATAAAATAATCTACAAATGGCGTAGGTTTCAGACCACTGACGATTTGATCAGATCTGGCCCCCCAAATTCAGCACAAGATGCATCAGGAAATCTCATGAAATCAAAGACAACAGATTGAGGGGCAACACTTATGCATCAAAATGCTCTGGAGACAGTTGCCAAAATGTGGAGTTGTGCATGGTGGAGGGGCTGCTTTGCTGCCTCAGGGCCGGCCAATCTGTCATCATAGTGTATAATGAATTCATCATGCTCTTCAGCCAATCAGTCCTCTAATTACTAATCTAATTAGGGAGTTGCAGCGAAAACCCGCACACACAGCGGCCCTTTGCGAATAAGATTGCCTACCCCTGCTATACAGGGTCACTGGAACCTATTCGGGGGGGGGGGAGAGGAAGGGATGCCCCCCCCCCTCCTCCCCCATTGCAGGACACATGGACACCTGGTAGAAACCCCATGGTGACACAGTGACAACATGCAAACTCCACTCATATGGAGCCATGGGGGAGACTCGAACCCAGGTCCCAGAGGTGCGAGGCAACAGTGCTAACCACTGTCATCCATCAAAAACCTGAATCTGATCCATAAGTGGGCCTTTAAAATGCTAATGATTCAAACATACAAGCGAGTCTACAAAGGAGTGGCTGGAAACAGAGTAACGTAACGGCAAAGCCAAATTAATGTGACTGAAATTCTGTGGGGGACCTTACATGCAAGACACCCCCCATCATGACACAGTTAACAGACTCCTGCATGGAGGAATGAGCAAAAATGACTCCAGGTTAGCCTACGCATGAAGTATGTAGACTAAGAATTTTCTAGGGGTGTATTTACTTTTCCCAAATGATTGTATGTGCAAATAAAAGCTACCAAGAACAGCAGCAATTTCCTGCAAAGACCACACACATTACATAGAGATGTACAGAACATGAAAATATTTATTTACAGTTAGAACATATTAACAAAAACAGCTTTTATGTGTAAACCAAATGAGGCTTCTTAGATTTTTATTATGCCTAAAACTGACTGACCTGTAGCTTGTTTTCATACTGGTAATAATCTGCTCACAACAGTAAGCCCAGTATGCCATTTTAAAAGTAGATTTGCCTGCATTTTAGAAAGGATGCCACTAATGCGATAGGTGAGTGTAAATGTGGTGACAATGACATTTTGAAAAGCAGCTGCTAGTGTGTTTTAATGAGGTCCTTCATTTCTACACTAATGCACCTTCTCCTGTTATGTGAAAATCATGGCACAAGCAACAATTTCAGCTCAATATCTGTCCAAGCATCAAACTGATGCAAGAGTACAAAGGGAATCTTCTGAAATCTAAATAAAACAAAGGAATAAAGACACAGTCGTGGTCACTCTGTGAAAACAGTCGCGTGACAGTGACATAGGTACGATACAGCTCTTATACAGAAAGAAATACACTGACATTAAAGTTCAGTTTGGTTTCAGCCCCAATCCTCCTTTTAACATGGACACTTTAGTGCAATATTATGGTCTAATCCTCAACTAATTCACAAGAGATGGAGAATGGTGAGGTTTTTGTTGCGCTCAAACCCTCACTTGATTCATTTCTGCGTTCGAGCAGAAAAATGCACAGTCTGGCTGCGTTTTGGTCCCAGACAGTGCAACCCGAGATCCAAGTGAGTAGTGCTGGGACAGAGAAAGCCACAGAATGCACAGTTTGCACAAGACGTGGTCGGACACATCCAATACTATTTTCTAATTCTGACTTTTCAGTATAGTTCACTAAAAGAACTACTAAGATTATTAAGCTAGTGTTGGCCATGTATTATAACCATTACATATTTCAGCTCAGTTTTGTCTTGTTATGTTTTTGTAATCACTGAGGGTTTGTAGGACAAGACATAACAGTGGTGAAAAGGTCAATGACCCCATTATAAAATTGGTAACAGTACAAGTTAATGAATTTACAGACTTCCTCTGGCTTATGGGTTTAAAAGCGGCTGTTTTGGATTTCAACATAAACAAACAAATAATAAATTGGCTTTTCGGATTCAAACGCACGACCAAACAGGCAAATAAGAATAGCTTCATTTTTGTATGTACTTTCTAAGACACACAAAGAAGAACCACTTCTGCAAGGTCTCCTGATCATCAGGGCAAAGTTACCAAGTGTCCGCTTGGATTGGCCAGGTTCAGGTATTGACTGTGTATGATAAAGTGCAACCTTCCATTTCGCCAATAGAAAGACCCAAGAGAACTTGCTGTAACAGGTTTCTGAATCTCAGTCCGTCACAGCAGTTTCATTCTCGTCTCGCCTAGTTTAGTTTTGGCATCATGCCTGCGGCTTCACCAGCTCATACTGGCCACCCTGGCCCCCCTTAAGAAGCTGCCCAATGAGCTGTTCAGTCTGTATCTTGCGGCCAACAATGAGGAAGCGCTGGGTGCCTTGGCCATACGATTTGCTTCGCAGGCCATACTTGTGACACAGCTGATGGATCTTCTTGCGCTCCGCATTGTCAAGCTCGGCGGAGAAGCGCAGGTCGTCGCTCCGTTCCGAGGTGGAGTATCTCTGGATGATGGCCTCCAGGTCCCTCTTGTTGAGCTCATGAGCGGGCTTCTGCGACTCCAGCCCCAGCCCCTCCCTCTTGGTCTGCTGCTTGACATTGATCGGCTCAGCGATTCCCTCGCCCTCACGGCCCAGTCCGCCACCGGTCCAGCCCATTTTGCGCAGGAGCTGGTTCCCAATGTTGTCATCTTTGATGGCTGGCAGTGCTGCAGCAGGGTCCGAGCGGCCAGCTATCTGCTCACGTGAGATGGTGTCCTCGTTGTCCTTTTGTAGCTCCCTCCTCTTGACCACGACGTGCGTCTGCCTCAGAGTGCCAAGGGCCATCTCCGCTGCCATCTGCTTCACACCCTTCCTGGGGCCCACAGCTTCGGCCACAAACTGGCCAGCCAGAAACACTTCACACTTCCACTGTTGATCAGGCAGCTGCGTCAACTCATAGTCGACGGGCACCTTGTTGAACTGAGCTGTGTTGTTGATGACACCAACAGCGTTGGAAGCGTTCTCCAGTATAACCAGCTCCTTCAGGTGCAGGTTGGTGCTTCCGTACTGCTTCCGTTGCTCCTGCTGCTGTTGTTGCTCACGTTTCCACTGCTCCTCTCTGGTTGCCTTGTTCTGCCGCAGCTTCCCCAAGGCCTCCTCGGCCGCCGCGTGCTTGGCAGTCTTTTTGCTCCGACTCTTTGCCTGTGCGACTGGCTCCCCATCCAAGCAGACGCAGCACCGCCAGAGGCCGTCCACAGGAAGATCGTCAAACCTGTAGTCGACTGTCATGCCGTTGAGATCCGCGGAGTTACTAAGGATATTAATGGCCCCCTGCGCTTTCTCGACAACCACAAAATTAGACCAGCGCCCCCGCTCCTCCTTGTCTCCGCCACAGGGTGCTGACTTATCTGCAGGGTCTCTGAGAGGTGTCACCAGTTGTCGGGCGGAGTCGTCCCTGGAACAGGCCACCATTTCATACCTGTGTCGGCGTCGCATGACCCGCACTTCCACCGGCATCTGAAGAAGTTTGACGGCCATCTCTGAGGCTCGCTTCCTAGCCGCCTTCTTCGTCCCCGCGTAGCCAGTGGCGACACAAACACTCTGGCACTGCAGCTCACAGGCATATCCATCACTGGGGATCTTAAGGTCCTTGGGCAGCTCTCCGGGTGACAGGTCCTGCAAACTGACGTAAGTGTACTCCAGGTTGCTGTTAACAGCCTCGAGGCTGCGATTCAGCACCGAGTTGTAATATGACGTGGACCTGTGTCCTGGGTTCCCCAAAGTGACAGCTATGGCAGAAGATAACCTGGTGATGAATTGTTGGCCTTTATTCAAGGTATCTGGGGAGATGGACTTGGGTTCACTAGAACTTGGGAGTACAGAGTGGACATTGTGAGCTGTGTGTGCTGCTTCTTGGTCTGTAAAGCCCAATCCCCTGCGCTGGGACTTTCTCTGGCCTTTACTGACACTAGCTGGCTTAGACTGCTTTATGACAGGTGCCTCAGTCCCAACCGAACAGTGCTGCCGAACCTCAGGCTGCTGCTCCCCAGCGCCGTGAATCGTCGTGTCGCCCTCAGCGCTGCTGGCCCAGGGGTCAAACACGAACGCTGCAGTGTTCTGCGGAGAAGACGAGGCTGAGGCAGCTGAGGCAGCCGAGTCTGCGGGTGCGACGACGCTCGTCCCTGCTGTGGCTTTGTTTTCATTTTTCTTCTCATCCACGCCACTACTGGCGACAAAACGCACGGGTTCGAAGCGGGGGCGGAGGCTGACCCGTGGGATCTTCGTAGAAATCTCCTCTCCTATTGTGATCAAAGAACATAAATCATTATCAAATCGTTTCTATCATCCTACACTTCCAGTGCTCTTCTTTTAATAGAACAATGTGAATTTAACCTGATTAATAAGACAAGAGATCTGCTAAGAATGTATAGTACTGTGCTAAAAGTCATAGGCAGTCAAATAAATGGTTAACAAATCTGATAAACAAAAAGAATCACATAAGATTACACGAAAATGAAGATAAACATATTTTTTGACTGCCTAAAACTTTTGCACAGTCTTGCAAAAGTTAATCCGTTAGTCTTGAATATAATCCTTAGGACAAACACGCTCATTTGGATGTGTAACCTAGATAAATTATAAACTGCTTTTAAGTGACAAAAAAGACCCACACTACAGCCAAATTGCAGCCAAAATACAGCCAAACTGCAGCCAAAATACAGCCAAACTTACCGTCATGACAGGAGCCTGATCTCTTTTTCGATTCACCTGCAACCAGCTGGAAGTTGGGCCTCTCACCAACATTTACGCCTTCAGCCATTTCTAGCACCTTCTGCATCAGCTCTGAGCCATACCTGCAGAGACAGAGAGGACATTTAGCAAGTTTGACCGACAGTTCATGCTGCATTTTTCATGTTGCAATTCCTGGGGTGGAGGGAGGGGACTTTTTGTCATATTTTTTCCCCAAAGCTGCATGAGATGCAAGTTTGGGGCAATGAGCCTGCAAGAGGAACTCATATGACATGGGAATAACCAGTAAAGTGCAGACGCGCCAGGCGGTGCCACCGTGCATAGGGTGCATAGGGTGCATAGGGTGGACGTTTGACCAGAATGACAGCAGAATGATGCTCTATCTATTTTTCCGCTCTCAACAAGTAATCACTGTAAGCGCCTCCTCTATAGTGCCTCCAAGGGATTGAATCAGGCCGAGTTCTGACGATTGCGCCTACACACACACACACACACACACACACACACATGCACGCACATACACACTCAAAATTATTTATATGCGCAAGTGTGAATTTGCACTCGCAGGTTGGTATTTGCAGGAGGACTTGGATTTGCAATACAGGTTTTGTACTTGAAAATCATTCTATCTTTGTAAAAAATATTTTTATGAAGATGTTTGGTTTCGCATTTACAAAAAATATTGACTTGTATTTGCAAAATATTTTTTTTTGC